AAAAGTATTGTAAAACGTATAAAAAAATTTTTTTTATCAATTGGATCGTCTGTGTAACATGGACGGTCCTACCTCGAATATATTTTATAATTTGGGCCGGGTATGAGTTTGTAGTGATGTAAAACGGCTCTGCAGAACCATAAGCCGATCGGCTTAGTTGAGCAATTTAACGGCTCGGTTAACTAACGGCTCAGCTAACTAACGGTTCGGTTTTAGAGCCGTGAGCCGATTAATGACTATAACCACAATAGAAACTGTTATACATAACTAATATAATAAACTTTCGTATCGATAATAAACTTTCATATTTATAATAAACTATAACAAAATTTCGTAATATTTTGTAAACTATTTGTTATTTGGTACTTATAATAATCGTCTAAATGGATCCTAACGACCTTTCTTAATTTTCATAGCAGTTTAAATCAAATTAATTTTACAGTTTAAAGTACTTTTTTTAAAAAAATAAAACTATGAAGAATAAACAAAAAAAGAAGTATATAAAAAGTTTTATTAGGGTTGTAGGACTCCACTATCAAAAATAATCAAAATCCCTTTTTGTTTTAGAGAAGTCAGCATGGTGATAGCCTAATTATATCTATCTTTAAGAAGTTGCTATTATGCTAACTTCTCTAAAACAAAAAGGAATTTTGATTATTTTTAATAGTGGAGTCCTACAACCCTAATAAAACTTTATATACATTTTTTTTTGTTTATTCTTCGTAGTTTTATTTTTTTTAAAAAAGTACTTTAAACTATATAAGTAATGTAAAATTAAATTGATAGTGGTCTCCATTGGGCCGGCTCAATGGAGACCACTATAAATTGATTTAAACTGCTAATCATTCGAAAATCTTTCTATCATATTAATTCCCGAAATTCACAAGACACTTTGCAAGAAACTTCTGAGGATGAGCTCACTCAATATTCGAACAAAGCTATTTAATAATGAATGTTAATCCACTGGAGTGGTGGAAATTTAACAGTTTTCGCTTTCCTGGTATGTCCCGAATTGCCAAGGATTTTCTCACAATCCAGCAACTTCGGTGCATTCTGAACAAATATTTTCAAAAGGCAGGGGACACAGTTCAGGTTAAACGTGTACGCCTTTCTGAAAAAAACGTACAAACTCTTATTTGTACTGGCTCATGGTTGGAACACGGCATTAAGTTTCGAAGCTGATACTTTTTAAAAAATTTGATTTCATTTTATTTTTTTTTTAAAAAAAGGATTTTTAAAAGATTTTTTTTTCTTTCAAAAAAAAAATGCTTTCTAAAAAAATTTTTTTTTATATTGTGTTTCTATATTATCGTTGCTTTGCACATTTGCAAATTATCAATTACTGAAATATCTGTACATGCGTTAACGCTGAATTCCAATTGAAAATAAATTTTTTATAACAATTCAATTTAAAGCCGTCAGTTCTTGAACGGCTAGCTAAAAAATGGTTCAGTTAAAAAACGGCTTAGCTAAATACGGCTCGGCTCTGTTATAGCCAGCTGTTAGCCGAGTGGAGCCGGTGATTTTCATCACTAATGCTAGGATGGATACATAATGGGGGTTTCAAAGTTAACAAATAAGTGACGCATTTCAAAAATAAATAGGATTTTTTCAATAGCATTTGAATTATAAATCGGAAAATAAAATAAGATTATCTGATTTTAACTTTGAAACCCCCTAATATAAGTTATAAAATACAAAATAAAAGTAACCAACGTGTTTCAAAAAAGTGGATTTTTTTCAAGCTAAAATAAAGAGGTTGCTTACAATTTTATTAATAAAATATAATCTTCGTTCCAATATCGCTTTTAACGGTAATATATGGTCTGTCTATCATTGCTTACTTTCAGAAATTCCTAAATGATATCACCTGCCCTAAATTAAATTTTTATTGTCTTCCAACTAAAATTACAAATTATGCTTATTAATAATTCTGAATAGAATTATACCAATTATCGTTATTGATTATAAGAAACTTTCATTAACGTGTTACAAATTTTTGTTGGTAATGTTTTTAATTTGCTAATGATTTTAAATATGGTAAAGTACATTTTTACATTATAATGTTTGAACTATGAAGCAGCAACAACTTTAGAATTTTAATTTCAATGGTTCAAGTAACCGTGACAATTATACGAATAATTACTATGAAGTTGCTCAGTATTTTTTCTCCGGGGTACTATATCATTAATTTTTAACATTTTGTTTTATCAAATATACGTCAAATTATTTAAATGCGCATCTATTATTATTTCGCGTCTCATGCTACTACAGTATTATCATATCGTTCCTAGTGGTGGTAAAAAAAAAAAAAAACAGTTTAAAAATGTTTTTTGTGTTTTAATTAAAACACAAAAACGTTTTAAAACATTGGCAGCTAAGTTTGAAACTGAAATAATCGTTTCTGATTGGTTAATTTCTGTACCGGAAAAAGTTCCATAATATCGTTTCGAGAGACATTCATACGGAAAAAAAATTTTTTTACTAAACTATCATTTATTAAAAATATTTTAATTATAAAGATCTTAAAAATGCAATGCATTTAAAATGCGAAATGCTAAATCTTTTTTATTAACGCTAAATAAATTAATTTTATAATCATATTGAATTGCATCATAATCAATGGTTTAAAATGTATTAAAAACTATTTTAAACCAAACAATCATGCTTTTTAAGATCATGTTTTAAATCATTTGCCATCCCTAACCGTTTCGAAATTAAGCACACTTTTTTTGCTGCAAATATGCATAATTTTGAAACCTTTTTTTTTTTAAATGTGAGTAGCAATAAACCTTAAGTGATATAGGTATATTACCGTAAAAGGTCATATACAAGACCCCATATATCAGACCCACCCTCGTTTTTTAATAATTATTTTCTTTTTTTCTTTTTTTTACCAATTAACTTTTTGTGGAATCCGAGACTTGTATATGACCTTTCACGATAATTTTTATAATACTGTATAAATGCAAGAACCAGATAGGATCTTTAATATCATTCATTATGTCACCTCTATCTTATGCGGTTTCAAGGACTTTTCATTTTACAAACCCCAAAATCGCGTAAGTCTAAACATACATAAAATATGAGAGGTGGCTTATTTTGGTTATCACAAAGGTGCTTAATTTCGGGGGTGCTTAATTTCGGAACGGTACGGTATTTTTATTGCAGATTTTCCTAAATCATCATGATAATCTTTTTTTATTTTTGACAATCCATTAAAAATGAAACTATATAACCAACAATTTTCAATCCTTTCTACTAACTTTATATTAATATCACGTAACTCATTATCACAACAAATACGAATGTACCACGAATGGGAAGATTCAATATTACTTGATCCAAAAGGTCCATACAATAAAGATTTACCAAAATATAAAAGAGCTGAGGCGCCTTTAGCTTGTGAATTTAAACAATTAACCAAACTGGAACAAGATGTTATAATGAATCCTTACGGTAATTATTTTGCAAAGAACTCTATTTTAATACATATAGAATCTTATTTTTATTTATGTATATATAGCGGCAATAATAGCATCACCTATAAGGCGTTGTTTCTATCATGAACGATGGTTTCCAAATGGTAAATTTTTTTCTTCTATATATGTTAACTTTATACTAATTAAATTTTATTATAATCAGATTTCTTGGTTAGATTTATAAAAGCATATGATGAGAAAACGAAGTCTACATGGTTAGTCCCCGATTTTGAGGAATACGGAGGTATTAAACGACCTGGTAAAGGAAGGTGGTTGAAACTTAATTCTACTGTTATACAAAAAGCCACAAAAGAAGGTATTAAATAACCTTAAAAAATGAATCAACTAGATTAATTTAAAACATTTAACATCTCCTTTTTCTACTCACACATTTAATTAAAAGGGAAATACAAATATATAGATCCTCGTGCATTCTGGAGACCAGATATGCATGAACATGTTTGGAATATTTTAGTTATGCGAGCTACTGATAGGTTACAAAGGTTTTTTAATTCTGTGGCTACAAAATCATTTCCTGCCAAACGTGATCAAGTTTTATTACATGTTCTTGATGGTACCTCACCTAAAATAACAAATAACGATTATAACTCAGTTCCTAAGATTAAAAATGTGAGTTTAAATGAAGATAATGAGGATGGAAATCAAAAGTTTTATATAGATAATGAAAATGCTATAGATGGATTACAGTGTGTATTTATCCTTGATTATTTGAATCATGATACTTTGTATAATAATGGAATAATAAAGAATGATAATAATGAGAAAAACTTATCAATACTATCTGAGGAAGAAATAAATTCACAAATAAAACAGAAGCAACAACCTCAAGTAACATTTTCACAAATATCATTAAAACCTTTTGGGACAATATATCCTGTAACTTTTCTTGGAAAAAACAACAAAATGTGTACACAAAATGTACCATTTTATAATGTCCAATGTATTTGGGGTGCCAGAGGTGTTGGAAGATTTAAAGGGTTTTTGAAAATTCCTAAAAATGAAAATCCAATGTTGGGAATGATAACTCACAGACACACTAAACAGTTGGCTATCTCTTTGTGGAAGTTAAGAGGATTTATTTTATAGTTTGTATTTTTCAGAGTGTAAATTATTCTAATAATTTGAATTTTATAAAATCATAGTCCTTTTTTTTTTTGTAGAATTTTTTTGTACCATTATTGTTTGTATATAGATGATCCGCTTTATATTTCATAAAATATATGATAAATCTTTGGATATACATTTATCTTCAAAAGTGAATAACTTTTGATTCACTAGTCATTTATGCCAAAATAATATCTTGCTTGATATGATGATTTCAACAAGTTTAAAACTATTAAAATTAATGATAGAGCCATGATACTATTACAGATTCACATTACTTCAAGTAAAATCTCATGAGTTTAACCCATCTAATTTTATTTAAAGCAATACAAATATTTAATAATCTGAGTATATAATAAATTTAATCGATTTTTGGTTTGCTGGAATTATTATAATGATTATTTTGGTGATAAAATTATTCCAAATGACTAATAGATCAAAAATTGTCATGCTAAAATACATGCTAAGAATTTTTAAAAATGTTTAAATTATTAAATTTCTTCTAATTTATAATTTCTACATTACAATAACACTACTTACAAGATTTTTCTTACCTACAAAATCACAAGTTAGCATTTTATTATATAAATAATAGATAAGTCACATCAATTTGCAAACAGCGATAATTCTATATGCTCATAGGATTGACATTAAAAATTTTTAATCGAATTTGACCAGGTATGTGTTAGTAATATTTGTTCAAAGTTTTGATGTCCTTAAAAAAGAAGTTGCGGTCAATTTTTTTTTAAGCTTTAATGAATATTTCTCAACAACCAGCTATTCAAATTCGATCGATATTTTTTTATTTAATTCTATGTAACAAGAAAATTTACCCAATTTAATTAAAACATTTCACGATTGTTTCTCGAAATTACTAAACCAAATTCTGTGAGCTTTTTTTTTATTTTAATTCTATAATACATAGAATAATATAAAGAAGTTTTCACCGAATTTAATCAAGTCGTTATTGAGTAATTATCGCTAGAAGGTTTAAAAAAACTTTCGAATTTATTAATAGGTTTATTAGATGCTTCACCGAATGATCGACATAACCTGGTAGGGGTGCAGTAAAATTATACAATGAATATTTTTTGTTAAAAAACACGAAAGCTGATTTCATGATAAATAGTTTAAAGAATTTTACTATAGATAATCATGATCGTTACACAAAAAATTGTCCATTCAAACATCATCGAACACTTATACATGTGGCCGAAATGTTTCGACCATTTCGGCCACTTGGCAAATGTTCAAAGCAAAGTTATCAATAATTTGTAAATATGATAGAAATTAAGCTTCATATATGTTAAGCCAGATCCGCAGAACCCTATGCATGTCTTTTTTGTATTTCGGCAAGACCTTTTGGTATTTCGGCAGACTCTGGAATTTTCGAAAATCCGTACTTAATATACAGCCGAAACTTCCAGAGTCTGCCGAAATACCAAAAGGTTTTACCGAAATACAAAAAAAGGCTTGCATAGGGTTCTGCGGATCTGGCTTAACATATATGAAGCCTAATTTCTATCATATTTACAAATTATTGATAATTTTGCTTTGAACATTTGCCAAGTGGCCGAAATGGTCGAAACATTTCGGCCACATGTATATCGAACACCCCAATATCATAGGAGGACATACGTCTGATTGGCTGATGTAAATCAATTTGCCGGGTAACTTATTTATACACTTTAAAGTACTTTTTGAGTCACTAATAAAAAAATCACCGCAAAAGCCATTTTTCGCTTCGTTATAATGTCTATATTCACCATGTAAAAATAATCAAAAATAATCAGCTTCCCCATGAACTTCACTTAGAAGCGAATATTTTTACTATTTACTACTACTGTACTATACTATACTATGGAAATGATCAACAAAAGAAAAGAAGATTGAGACATTACTTGTAAGAATTAACTTAAAAGAACTTCGTGTGTATCATTTGACATGCAATTATAATAACAATAAGCTTGTACTAACGCTCATATTTTACGTATTCTAAACACTATAGTTAAAACATTAGAAACTTTGGGTTAAATAGTAGGTCGATTATAAGTATAAGAGTTTATAGTTTCATTAATTATATAAGCTAAATGTCGTTTTACTAATAAAGGTCGCGATAATTAAAATAAGATTTAATTACTTTACTTAATTTTCAAAAGATGCTAATTTGTTTAATATTTAATTTTTTGATCGATATGAGTTTGGGTTATTAGTGATAAATATTAATTTACTACATTTTACGCGTATCTACCTATTTCTAATATGTGACAAAATTTTTTTTACGTGCATTTATTAGTTTGCAAGCTTCTTTATGTGTATTAAAGCGATAAATCTTTTAAAAATCGTGCATTTTGATTGGCAATTGTTCACGAGTAGATCTACAAAATTGACCAATCATATGAATGCTTCCTATGAAACCCTAATATATTAACCAATATATATGCATGCATATTTATTTATCAAAAAAATCCAATTTTCCAAAGCGTAATTTAGGATATTGCTATATATATATGTTTTATACACATAAATAAATAAAGTTTTTTTTTGATCGAAAATGTCAAAAGAAAATTTGACCGAATTGATTGATGGTTTCAGCAAACTGATTGCCAAAAATTGGCAGATAAGAACGATCCAGACGGAATTTTCTGGCTCGGTTATTGTTACGTACACGGAATTGAAGTTGAAAAGGATGAAAACAAAGCATTCACGCATTATCAAAAATCGGCAGAAATGAAAAATTCTAACGGAATGTATAAAGTTGGTTATTGTTATAATTTAGGAATTGGAGTCGAGATCGACAAGCAAAAAGCGTTTACGAATTATCTTAAGTCTGCTGAGGCGGGTAATTCGATGGGAATTTGGAAAGCTGTCATTTGTTACTTTCATGTAATTGGCGTGGAAAAGGATAGTAGTAAATTTAAGGAATGGTATGAGAAGTAAGTTAATTTTTAATTTTTTAATTACAATAATTGGTGATTTCTTTATTTGAAACTGAGATCTCTTATACAATTTTTAATTATTAGAGAGTAAGTATAAAAAAGTGCATTTTCATAAATCTAAATCGGGATTTAAATTCATGAATATTTATTTATTGTTGGTTATTTTAGCCCGTGAGTATAAAGAAGAATTTAACAATTTTTAGAATAAAAATAAGTTTACAAATCAAGAAAGATCATGAATAAAATTATTTGCCATTATGTTTAAATTCATTTCATTCGCATTAATTTAGTTAGTGAGTATAAAGAACATTTATTAATCAGTGGAATTAAAAACAGCAAAACAAGTTCACAAATCAAGATCATAAATACTTATTTACCATTACGTTTAAATTCATTTCATTCGTATTAATTTAGTTAGTGAGTATAAAGAACATTTATTAATCAATGGAAGCAAAACAAGTTCACAAAACAAGAGCATAAATATTTATTTACAATTACGTCTAAACTCATTTCACTCGCATTAATCATTTTATTCAGCCCGTGAGTATAAAGAAGATTATTAATCAATGGATTTAAAAACACAAAACTAGTTCACAAATCAAAGGTCATAAATACTTATTTATAATTACGTTTAAATTCATCTCATTCGCATTAATTTAGTCTGTGAGTATAAAGAACATTTAATTAATCAACGAAATTAAAAACAGCGAAACAAGTTTACAAAACAAGATCATAAATACTTATTACCATTGCGTTTAAATTCATTTCATTCGTATTAATTTAGTCGGTGAGTATAAAGAACATTTATTAATCAATGGAAATAAAAACAGCAAACAATTCACAAAACAAGATCATAGATACTTATTTAAATTCGCATTAATCATTTTATTCAGCTCGTGAGTATAAAGAACATTTATTAATCAGTGGAATTAAAAACAGCAAAACAAATTCACAAAACAAGAACATAAATACTTATTTACCATTACGTTTAAATTAATTTCATTCGCATTAATCACTTTATTCAGTGTGTGAGTATAAAGAACATTTATTAATCAATGTAATTGAAAACAGCGAAGCAAATTCACAAATCAAGATCATAAATACTTATCTACCATTACGTTTAAATTAATTTCATTCGCATTAATCACCCACCTCACTCAGCATGTGAGTATAAAGAACATTTATTAATCAATGGAATTAGAAACAGCAAAACAAGAACATAAATACTTATTTACCATTCGTTTAAATTCATTTCATTCGCATTAATCATCTCACTCAGACGTGAGTATAAAGAACATTTATTAATTAATGGAATTAAAAACAACAGCAAAACAAGTTCTCAATACAAGATAATAAATACTTATTTACCATTACATTTAAATTCATTTCATTCGCATTAATTTAGTCGGTGAGTATAAAAACCATTTATTATTAATAATCAATGGAATTAAAAACAACAAAACAAGTTCACAAAACAAGATCAGAAATACTTATTTATCATTCATTATGTTTAAATTCATTTCATTCGTATTAATTTAGTCTGTGAGTATAAAGAAAATTTATTAATCAATGGAGTTAAAACAGCAAAACAAGTTCACAAAACAAGTTTATAAATTCTTATTTACCATTACGTTTACATTCGCATTATTTTAGTGGGTGAGTATAAAGAACATTTATTAATCAAGGAATTAAAAACAGCAAAACAAGCTCACAAGAACATAATACATAATTACCATTACGTTTAAATTCATTTCCTTCGCATTAATCACCCTTACTCAGCAAGTGAGTAAAAAGAACATTTAATAATCAATGGAATTAAAAACAGCAAAACAAGTTCACAAAACAAGTTCATAAATACTTATTTACCATTACGTTTAATTCATTTAATTTTATTCGCATTAATTTAGTCGGTGAGTATAAAGAACATTTATTAATCAATGGAAATAAAAACAACAAACAAGTTCACAAAACAAGATCATAAATACTTATTTCCATTACGTTTAAATCATTTCATTCGCATTAATTTAGTCGGTGAGTATAAAATTATTTAT